CCCACCGAAGGGAGGTGACAGCTCCCTTAAGGTGTAGGTAAGTCGTGCCTCGCGTAGGCCCTATCCTGTCGTAGGGGCTCGCGAGAGGTATGGCTGGCACACCCGGCCGGAGCGGCTTGCGGAAGCTCCATGTATATTGCGACGAAGGGTTATGAAAACCAACTCCTGTGTGACGCGGCCGGGAGGGTCCCGCGCTGCCCCCGTGCGGTGCCGGACCGATGCGCCCTACAGGTGGCGCCGTTGCCGGGGATAACGAAAAGCCTATCGTTGTCCCTGGTGGAACGACATCCGGGTATGAGAAGTGAATAAGAAAAGGCATAAAGGAGTGATGAGAAGTAATGAAGGAATATATGAATGACTAAGTGTAGGTGAGAAAATTTACCTACCCAAGTAGAGGAAGTATGAGGGACGATCGTGTTAACAGTGGGTGAAGTAAGTACTAAGGGTTAGGTAGGACGAATGGAATAGACCGGTCAAGGTATAATGTTGAATAAGATGATATACTTGTTTTCTTTTGCCAGGGAACTTAAAAAGAAAAGGGTGTCAAGATGTCTGAGACTGGCGGCGCATCAGTTGTTCCCAAGAAGGGCCTGACACTCGATGACCTCATCGTGGTCATCGACCGACACGAAGGGAACCCAAGCAACATCCCAAAGGTCGATACTTTTCATTTCTGTGGGATGAGAGTCTCAGAATGGCTAGAGCGGGTGGAACAAGCTTTGGTCGGGCGGCCGGATGTTGTAAAGTTTCAACGCATCCTTCAGTATGTCCTCCACAACTACCATCAGGAGGTGAAGAAAGTCATAGATGCGGCTCAAGGTAGCTGGGAGAGGTTGAAGGAGGGGATGCAGAGGAAATACCGCCTGGGAGACGAGTTGTTGACTACCACGGACCTTGAAGCGATGAACAAAGAGGATTTTACGACTATAGGGGCCTTTGTTCAAGAATTTAAGAAGAGGGCGCGGAAGGTCCATGGGATTTCGGAGGAAGCACAGTGCGCCATCTTCCTGGGGCTACTCACAGCATCGGAAGCCGTCGAATTGACGAGACATGGAGGAGGTAGCACTAAGCTCACGTGGGCCACCATTGACAGAGAGGTGGAAGTTGGGTGCTTGGACCAGGTGGAACAACGTCAGGTACGCCTGTAAAGACAGAAGAGAAAGGAAAGAGATGCGACCGCTTCTGGGACCCCGGGAGTAACAAGGATTGTTACAGACGTATTGGCACAGCTAGGGTATGCGACAGAGCCAGTGGTGCAAAGAAGGGTGGTGACGGCTGTCAAAGTAAAAGGAAAAGAGCCAGTGATAGAGGAGGCTGGCCAGGAGGAGCTYTGGGAAGAGGAAGAGCCAGTGCCGCAACACCTGACGAAGGTCCAGCGCAAAGTGCGTAATTTGGGGCAGGGCGGACAGGGATCAGGAAAAGCGCAGGCGTCTCAAACCCAGGCAGCAGCCCCTTTAAATGTGGCGGCTCCATCATCTAGTACGGGCCCCTCGCAAGGCGGGGCGCCCTCCTATGGACAGTGGCCCTGGCGTGTGATCAACGCAATTGTGCCATGGGGAAGTATGCCGCCGGTAGCCGGACCGCAAACGAGTATGCCACCACCCATTTACCCCGCGGCCCAGGCCCAACCTGTGGCCCCGCCACCGTCACCTGATCCCAGTTCACAGGGCAGTGTTGTAGGGGGTGGGAACCAGGGGCAGGGCAATCAAGGCAATGGAGGGAGGGGTGGAGGAAAGGGGCGAGGCAGGAATGGCGGCGGAAGAGGAAGGCAATGGAATGGCCAAGGCCAGGGGTACCAAGGCCAAGGGAGTCAAGGCCAGGGGTACCAAGGCCAAGGG